GACACACACACACATACACACAAAGCTTTCGTTTACATGTGTAGCACTTGCACATGCAGATTTTAAAAATATGTTGAGTGGCTGATATATACATTTGCCAGCAAGAGACTCAAAGCCAGATAGTATTAAATTAAATAACACAGTAATCAGAGTGAAAGAGGGGATAAGAAGGGAATGGGGGTGGGGGCACTTCAGTTTCATCCCTGTGGACCGGCTGAAGCTTGAATGAGGAGATTCCTGTTTTCTTTCTTAAATAATGTGGAGACATTAGCCAGAAGCATAGGCACAAAAATGATATCTGGACTGAGGCCTGGGCTCAGACATCATGTTACACATATCACCTGTTTGGTGCTGTTACGAGGTCCCCTGCTTCTGATCCTGGAGCATTGTAAGTTAGTTTGAATGTTCGTTATGAGAATGTGCCAGAGAGCTTTCCTGTCATCTAGACTCCCACAAGTAAATGACTCATTTTTGCAGTTTTCCTCTGCCATGAGAACTCTCTCCATTCAATTCCTCCTGCTTTCCCTCACCAGGAGCAATACCAGTTTCTTTACGACATCATTGCCAGCACCTACCCTGCCCAGAATGGTCAGGTCAAGAAAAGCAACCTCCAAGAAGACAAAATTGAATTCCATAATGAAGTGGACAAAGTAAAACAGGACGCTAACTGTGTCGGCCCAGCTGGTGCTTTGGAAAAGATCCAGGAAGGCAGCAGAGAGGAAGGAGCCCCTGAACCCCCAAGAGGCATCGAAGGGCCAGAACATTCTGCCAATGGTCCTGCAAGTCCAGCTTTAACTCAGAGTTCATAGGAAAAGGCTTAAATGGGACAACTCAAAACCTCATTATAGTTTCTATTTTTCTAGAACTAGTGGAAGGAAATGGCTGTGCAGTGGTTAGGAAATCGATATCCACCTTTGTGGGGATATTTTACCACTGTGGAAAAATATTTAAGTTACCTTGCACACACCCCCGCCATCACCACCTCCCCCACCACATATACAACAGTGTGAGAGAGAGAGAGAGAGAGAGAGAGAGAGAGAGTCTATGTGCATGTGTGCATATTTGACCACCAAACGGGGGTTAGGAAGACAAAGTGCTTTCAAGTGAATTTAAATGCTCTTGAGAAACAATGATTTTTTTTTCTGAAGAAACTATACATTTTATATTTGAACTGTTAATGTAGCTTGAAGAATCTATTTTTAAAACAAATTGTGTGTGGACTCAGTGTAAGAATAGCAACGTGCACATTTCTAGATGACCTCAAGGTGTCCTCCTTGTTCTACTCATGAACTCGTAGTTTACTTCCTTCATTCCTGAAGATACATCAAAGTACATGGAAGGAGTCTGAATGTGTCCAGCTGGTATAAGGAGGTGGACTAAGTGGACATGTGGGTGTTTATGCTCCATTTGCTATCGTTTAGTCTCTGTCTTTTAAAGCATATTTAATCTAACTTTAAAACCCTAAATGAGCGTATTTTGGTATTCTCATGGGAATTACAGCTTTGTAACATGGATTGTTTTCTGTACAATAATTGAAAATTACTACTTGATCCTCTTGATCAGATGTTCATGTGTTGTAACTGAACCTAGACAATTGTCTTTAAACAAATGTAGTATATGTTAAAACCCAGAGGATGAAAACAGGAGCTTGAAAATATTTTTGTGCCAAATATTTGCATATGAGACCCAATACATTTATTTTATGTAATTCTATATTCATACGAAGAATATAAAATTGAATATGCCTGGTGTCTTTAAGGCCATCTTTGGCTTTCATTAAAGTGCATTTATTTTGAATTCCATAAATGTGTAGGTTATTCTTATTGATAGCCATGATAAAATTCAATTATGTCCTTCCTTGTTCATATCAAATATGTTGAATTTTCATATGTGAAGTACGTATGTACCTACTAAACTATGTTTAATGCAATCAAAACCAATTTCAGAATGCTTTCAAAAATCCCAATTCTTAAAAATTGAAACTTGCTATCTGACAATTATGTTGGATATAAGATTTAAATTAACCCCAATATTTATTTCCCTAGATATAACAGAAGCAGCTCCTTTGATGAACTCTGGGCCAACCGATCAAATTCGGTTTGCACTGCCTCTAGTGTGGTTAGTTTTCATGTCATCTCTTCTCTTACTTATTTTTAATGGCTTAACTATACAACTTTTTGTTGTCTATACAGCTCATTTTATTTTGTGCTCTTCTGAGCCTTTTATCACTGCATCACACAAAAATAGCAATTAATCCTTATGTAATGGCATAGTCCTTTGCTCATGTTTAACAGTGGCAAAGAAGCAAATGAAATCATTCTTATTTGAATTAAGGTTGGTTTCCACTTTTTACTTACTAGTGAGAAAAAGTAAATTAAGAATGATGGGCATCTGAAGGCAGTGAAGCTTGATTTTATTTCTCTCAGTAGTCATTCAAACTTTTGCACCTTAGTTCTTCCTAATGGAACATGATCAGTTGCTCCAACTATACAATGTGGTCAAATTTTGCAATTTTGATACTGCAGTACATTCAGGAATATGGGGGGACTGCTGTCTGTTTTCACCTGTGAGCTGCTCCCAAATACAAAAAGCATAACTTCTATATTTAAGGTTTTCTCTATTATAACATAGCTCTAAGAACATTTCTTTAACAATGTATTTGCAACCGCATGAAAAGCCATATTTTAACTTTATGAAAGCAGTTTATGAAAGTTGATGTATACATTTTTTGCTCAGGTTTCTTATAATTAAGAAACCTAATGGTTTTCCACCAACCATACTGAGGGCTCATAAAAATGTAAAACTTTTCAATTTTCACAATATTTTTAATCGTGAAAATTATTTCAAAATATCTACAAGTAACTTCTTCCAAATGTGGATGCTGTGTTTGAAATATGTATCTCCCACTGTGACTGTTCGCTCAAATATGCAAAATAAATGTTTAGAAAATAGAGCCATGATATTAATCTAAGAAGCTTTAGCCATGGATTATATTCATAAAGAAAATGTCACAAGATGAAGCTTAACTTCTTGATTATTAATCCCATGACTTAGAAAAATTAAGCAAAAAGTTCCAACTTAATAAATGCCTGGTCCATTTTAGTTTGGCATTCTATTATGCTTTTGCTGGGCAGTGAGAAACTGCTTTTTCTTACTGTTTATTTCTAATATCAGAATTCACTGAAAATAAATATTTAGTAACCTTAAAATTCAGCACTCTATAATTTTCTAAATAAGTGACACATAAAAAAGATGCAGAAAAGAGCTATGCACATGAGAAACTATAGAACATCTTTAGCCAAAATGTCTTTGCAATGACACATTTTAAAATGCAAGCTTCTGAATGTGAGGAAATAACTGTGTAGGTAACATCGTTGTTCACAAGCATGAGGACTTGAGTTCATATCCCCAGCACTTACATACAGAGAATGTACCCATAAGTGTGGCAGCATGCACTTATAACCCCAGTGCTTGGGGCTAGAGACAAATGGATCCTGGGGACAGCTGGCCAGCCAGTGTAGCCAAATGGCAAGCTCTGGGTTTAGTGAGTGACTGACTCAAAACAGTAAAGCAAAGAAGACATGGAAGAAGAGATTCCAGACATCAGCCTCTGGCTTCCACATGATCTCCCACAAGTGAGTGCAATCTTACACACAGAGACAGACAGACAGACAGACAGACAGACAGACAGACACACACACACACACACACACACACCCCACATACACACACAAGAAAAATATTCAAGCTATGAATTGTAATATTTGCTTCATGAAATTTTTGTATGTCTTTTTTTCTTCCCCTTAAAATGTTGAAGAGTTTATTGTGTTTTACAACTAACTAGCATAGATCCTAATTCTATTATTTATCAGCTTTGTTAAGAAATACCATCATAGTATGGTAGTGGATGTAAATCGATGAGTGGTAATTGTTCCTGGCTCATTGTAAAAGGCTCGACTATGAAGACCTTGAAATACACAACTTCAAAGAATATAAGCATTTGTTACAACCACTAGGAAAGGTTGTGCCTTTCAATCTGTTATAGAGAATTTATGCCTGGACTGGCCTGAAGTTTCTTCAAAGAGAAGTATTCAAAATGAGGATATTTAATTCCCTGTTTTAAATGAAGAGATTCATCCTGCTAAAGATCATCTCTTTCTTATTTTTTATTCATTCACCCCATTCATGTTTTCATTAACTTTTATTCCCCCCTTGGATCAAAAGTGATTTAAGTTTTGATTATTATTTGTAAGACAAGAGTTTCTAATCAGGGAAAATAACTTTCTGAATTTTCTAATCATGTACATATATGGTTATATGTGCATTTATACATATACACATATATATGTATACATATACATACATACTCTTGCTGGCACCTGCTCTTATTTCTTCCGAGAATCAGTACTTTGATAATTAGTAGAAGGAAAGTTTCCATTTATTTTCTATCTTTATTTCGTGATCAGAAGAAAACTGTAACATGGGCCCTCCACAGTGCTGCACGTTAGCTTAGAACTCAGTCACACCACTGGAGTTGTCATGCAAAAATAAACACATTCAAACACTCATAGGAAAGAATCGTTCTCATAATGCATGCAAACAAAGATTGCTTCATCCCTAAACAGAGTGCCAGGGAATAAAGCACTACAGTAAATCACAAATGTCCCTGCTCCATTGTCCCATCATTTGGGCAGAAGAACAGATTTTTACTGTTTGAATCGCTTTTTGGTATGTTTGTCAGAGAGTCATCAATCAGTGTTTAAAACTAGTGAACAAAGGCACCATAAAATATCAGTCACATTTATGCAAAGTTTGTCTCGTCCACTGTATATAGAGTGGCACAGGAACTATTCAAGGCCTGCATAGCGTCAAACTTCTAAGGACAGGGAACCTAAACAGTCTTTTAGAGTAAAATAACACATGTAGGTCAGTGAGATGGTTTAGTGGGTAAAGGCACTTGCCACCAAGCCTGAGGACTTGAGTTCAATCCCCATAATGTGGTGGGAGGAACCAGCTGCTGCAAACTATCCTCTGACATCCACAAGCTTACCTGACATACCTGCATGCTCCCATCCACACACAACCCCACCCCCTCATTCCCACTAGCTAAATAAAAAAAGCTCATGTGCTTCTCACCAGATAAAAGTGATTTCATGGTTCAGTATTATTAGAAGTGAGGTATCTGATAAAGATATTTAATTTTCTAGAAAAGGGGAACTTATTGGATTGCATGCATGCATTTTACATAGGAAGCAAATCAGATCCAAATAACTGATACATATATCAAAAAATAGGAACATTGTCTTAGTTTTTTTTTTTTTTTTTAGGTTCTAGAAAGCATAGTGGCACATATCTGTAATCGCAGCATTTTGGAAGCTGAAGCAGGAGAATCTTAGTTCCAGCACAGCCTGTGTTACACAGGTAGATGCAAAATATTGGATTAAATGACTTGGTGACCAAGGCCTGTCCCTGTCACAGGGCCTGTCCCTGGCTAATAAGAGCTGAGTGCCAGGCCTCCTCAAAACGTTCTTACGTCTACCACCTGCTGAAGACTTGAATGCAGGGCTAATTCAGATGCGTCATTAATTCACTTTAAAATAGCCTTTGCGAATAACAATTCAGGGGTTTGTTATATACTATGAGCTATGAAATTGTTTTACAAGGGAATTTCCACTTATATTTAATGACGTGTTTCTGTTGCAATCTCTACTTACAGGCAGTTATAGAAAATTGAATATGCAAAAGATTTAAAACGAAAAATTTTAATATTTTTCTCATCATTAGCAGAAAGGAAAAAGCTGAGCTTTCTCAAATGCCATCCAGTATCTGCTCTGAGTAAATCTGAGCTGACTTTGCCAATGAATCTCTCAGAGCTTCCCACACATTGTGGCTGTTCCTCTTAGACCCCAGAAAAGGGTAGTGAGCTATTTCAGGT